TGAAAGGTTTTTACCGGAGTGTTATGGAAATGGCGACCCCAATCAACCACAAAAGTCGGTTCTTTATGTAAAATACAAGAGGCTTTATTGCTAGCGCGCTAGGACTCCACTCCCAGTCATACAAGACATGGCTAAGAGTGAAGTCCCGAACATAGGAGTATTCAGGTTATATAGACATGAGTCTGTGGGATGAGGGGAGGAAGCAAGATAAGAGGTTACAAGGTAATCTTATGACGACCATTTGGTCAGGCTTGCAGGAGCATTTGATCTGGGTTTCCGGGGCTAGCAGAAGGGAGGGATTTTACATTACAAAGGTCCGGGCTAGCTTGCCAGACTAGCTTGCAAATTGGCTCGGGCTCCCTGCAATGTGTTAACAAATTACCCCAGGTTTCCACAACTTCAGCAGCATCTGCTTTAGTACAGAAACAAAAGAGGCAAAGGTTAGACTTTATCTTTGTAAGACAGGCTAATCTAATTTTATTCTTACAGAGGGAAGAGCAAACATACAAACAGGGACTTATATGTGTCTGGTTAAAACATGGGGAGAGGGACCAGCAGGTGATGTAATTGTTAAGGCATCAGATTCCCACATGACCAACTGCAGTTCAAGTCCCAGACCTGGTGGTTTGAAAAAGATGCTGGACATGTGTGCACGTGTGCCCAATATTCTGAGGGAAGAATGGAGAAGGGATTGTTAGAAACAGATTGCACATTGTGGTTGAAAAGGAGTGATATGGGGACATATGAGTTGATATATTAAAATGTCCCAAATCTCCCAAGCCTCTGGAATTCACCAGGCCTAAACAAAGTACATTACTCTTATCTTTAAAGGTTGATGCCTGTCTTTTCATGAAAATGATGAAGTTCTGCTTTGGAAGACAATGCATGACAACTTGCTTCCCTACCCCTTGCAAATCTACTCCCAGTTCTCCTCTTGGCCACCAGATCAGCAACTGGGGTTGGTTGTGGTGCAGTGGTAACATGGCTGGACTCATGTGGGAGAGGTCATGGGTTTGCATCCTGGAGTCTCTCTATGCACGCCGGGTGTGTGTGCATGTGCATGTTATCCTACTCAGCTGAGACTGTGGGTGGACTGTGGCATAGGGACCATGTTGGGAGTGCTCATCTGTCTTCTATCTCTTTTTCTCTCTCACAAAGGAAATGAATAAATTTAAAAAGAAGAAAAAGAAAGAAGTAGGGTCAAGTCATAACGATCTGGCCAGAGAAGTGTGATCCTACCAATGGAGAACAGGGACTGTAGCCCAAAGGAGCTGTGGGACTCAGCCAATACATACATGCCAGTGGGATCCAGAAAGGTATGATGAGAATGAATGGAGAGGGGGCTGGACAAAGTGAGATGAAATGCAAAGTTGGATGGGGAAAATTCACTGCTAGGGAAGAACTTTCTTTTGGTACATTTAACAAATCCTGGCAGGAACCGTGTGAGTTTGAGCTTGTATCCAGGAAGTTTAGAAAATGTGATGCAAAGTGAAGATGCAAGATTTGCCATGGGAGATGAAGGCAGGAGAGATCAAAAGGCTCAGAAAAATAGGCAAGGTAGAGTGGATAGACTATGTAAGGCCAGAAAACCTGGCAGGCTTTGTTTTCCACAAGAGTGTCTGGAAGATCACAGCATTTGTCAAAGCAAAAAGAATGCCCTGGTGAGAAGGCAAGTGTCACAAAGAAGTCCAGTGGTGGCTGTTCTCTGAAGGTCAAGGATATTGGAGAAGATTTTAATACAAAACCGGGATCCCTGCTAGCAATGGAGGCAACAGAGACTAGGAGGTGGCACTGACTGTTAGATACAAGGTAATTCTAATTTTAATAATGACCAGTAAGGTGAGAGTGGCAGCTCGGGGAATCCGATCTACAGAACTATAAAAATGGTTACAAGAAATTTTCATTCCCAGGGGAAATACAGACAGGCAGCCAACAGGGTATTCTTCAACAGATGCAATTGAAATAGATCAAGAATATGTAATTAGCTGAGGGCACAGACTGAAGGAAAGGCTAGTTCCCCAGGCTGTCCCACAAAAGCACCTGTGGCCATTTACTTAAGCAATTGTTCTCTGGGGAAAGAGAATGCTCCAACATTTTGAAGATATTGCATGCAGGTCATTGCTGACATTGAACCTGGAGACCTGAAACATTATTGTGTGATCCATTAAGGGGATAAATATAAAGGCCCAGATACTAAAATCCTGGCCCAGGTACAGGTCAGAGGGAGTTCTGAATTGTCTTCTGTGTATGTGTGCCAGGCTAGCAAAGGAAGATCAGGTGAAAGCAATCACAGGCTCTAAACTTAGGACAGCAAACCTCAGCAGGTGCAGACAAAAGGCAGGATTAAATGTTATGTGGACAAGATAGCAGTTAATAGCATAAACTTTGAAACCAGACACAACTGCATTCAAATCCCACTTTTGCCACTCATTAATGGATTCCTGGCTAGCTAACTTCTCTGTGCCTCCACTCCTTGATTTGTACCATGAGGATATTACTAACCCCCCCAGAGAGATTTTTTTTCTTTTTTTTGGAGAGGTTTTTGCTATAGGGTGCGTGCGCTCGCCAGACAGAGAGATAGAAAGCGAGAAATCCTCCCCTCCAGGGGGGATGGCCATGCTGCAATCCCTTCTCCTCCATTCTCCTCTTGGGATCTTGGGCATGCATGCACACGTGCTCGGCGAGTTTTAAGCCACCGGGTCCAGGACTCGAACCGCGGTCAACTACTTGGGAGTCCAGCGACATACCATTACCCTAACTGCTGGTCCCAGAGAGATATTTTAATAGTTAAAAGGATGGTAAATCTCAGCACAGTGTTGGACACTCCAGATAGTGTGGCCTTTATGACCATAATCACTATGAAAAGGGTTTGAAAGGTCCCAATAATATATTCTGACCACATACTCTTAGGCACACCGTTTGGACAGTGGCTGCAGAATCCTGTGCTGTTGTATGCAGTGTTGTGTGGAAGAACCTTCACAAATGAGACAGAAGCTCAATAGGAGACAAATATGAAAATATCACAAGAACCTTTGGGATATGTCATCTGGAGTCACGACAGATGGCAAAGATGGCAAAACATCTGCTTTGGTTTTGTTCAAAGCAAAGAGCTCAAGAAAAGTTGGGATCAGATTCTACAGAACTCTTCCATTTCTTTTTTGAGCCTATGTTATTGCCTCAGAATGATCTTGATAATAAAATGGAAAGAATGAAACAGGAGACGCATTAACTCAATAGTCAGAACAGACTGAAAATAGAAGCAGGCCTCAGGGGTATCTGGTTAATTTTGAGGATGATTGATTTCGGAATGCTTCAGTTATTCAGAACCCAGCTGTCTAGCAACCTGTGTATGTGGAATGTTTTAGAAAATTTGGAAGCCAGTTCACAAAACAGCTCAGGAGTCAAAGAGAAATATCAAAGTATACTCACAAGATGCGGGGAGGAAATAAGAAAGATCCTCTCTGTGACCACTTGGCCAAGGATAATTCATTCCTACTTTCCCTATATCCATGTGATCTGCTTCCCCATCCTCAGAGTATGTTCAAAACTGAAAACTCAAAGAGCACGGGGACCTCAAAGAGGCAGACCCAGCAGTCTTGTCAAGATGTGTAGACAGCGAAAGCAAAGGAGGCAAGAGGAAATCAGCACAGAGCAGACATCAGAGATCAAAGGAAACAGCAGACCCATGGCTGACCTAGGCAGCCTGGGTTCCAGGAGACCCTTTCTAAGCCAAAGCTCTGAAATATTTACTGTACAGCTGACAGCTCAGCCTTTCCCACAGGAAATAAATGGAAAGTAATTTTGGCCATCCACCACTGGTTTCAAAAAGACCCGAGCAGGGCCTATGCACCTGCTTCACTAAGATAAAATTTTGTATGATTGCAACAAATAGAACAATAATGCATGTAAAGTTTCTATGAGAAAATTTTGACTGAAAGTAGTAGCAGCTGTTTCTAATATTGCAACAAAACTTTAGAGGGGAACTTGTCCTTTTCATTATCCTCCATTGGGGTTTTGGACTTACAACTGGACATCATCGCCTCTGTGGCAGCCCAACTGGTGGCTCCCATAGATATCCAGGCCCAAATCCCTGAAACATGAGTGTTACCTTACATGGCAAAAGGGGCTTTGCAGATGTGATTAAGGTAATGCTCTTGAGATGAGTTGACAGGGTTGTTAAGATGGGGAGTTTGTCCTGGATTATCTGGATGGGACCCAAGTGTAGTTACAAGTGTCCTTACAAGACATTTATAAGAGACATTTCTGAATCTTAAGAGGGAGAGAGAATGATCTGACGACAGAAGAGGAATAGCTGACATGACCACCGAACAGTGGGAGATGGAGTGAGAATGGAAGATGCAGTGCTACTAGTTTTGAAGACACAGGAAGGACCATGTGTCAAGGAATACAGGTGGCAGTCAGAAGCTGAAAAAGGCAAGCAACCAATTCTCCCATGGATTCTCCTGAAATAACCAAACATTGGTGGAGTGGAAAGAGGTGTCTAGTGCTGGTGAGTTATAGAAAAAAACTAGTTCATGACACATGCAGATGCTAATAACCATGTGAGTAGCAAAGGGCTAAAACCAGTGTTTCAGATGATGTGCAAAATAGTATATCAAATATAATATCATTTTGTATAGAGACAAAGAGGCAATAGAGAATCTCTGTGGCCTTTACATCTTTTGGTGGTCCAATTTTCTACTTCATTTGTTTTCTTCTGCCTTTTTATTTAATGGCATGATTATTATTTAGTTAATCTACAATATAGTTTCCTTTTTTTTTTCTTTTCTTTTCTTTCTTTGAGATTTTTGGTATAGGGTATGTGCATTCGCTGGATAGACAGAAACAGAAAGTGAGAAATCACCTCCCGGGGGGATGGTCACACCACAATCCTTTCTCCTCCATTCTCTTCTTGGGATTTTGGGCATGCACGCACATGTACCCAATGTGAGTTTTAAGCTGTTGGGTCCAAGACTTGAACTGTAGTCAACTATGTGGGAGTCCAGCGATGTAACCTTTATGCCATCTGCTGGTCCCTGATTCACATTATTATTATTTTTTTTTGGAGAGGTTTTCACTATAGGGCGCGTGCGCTCGCCAGACAGACAGAGAGAGACCTAGAGACAGAAAGAGAGAAATCACCCCCTCAGGGGGGGTTGGTCACGCCGCAATCCCTTCTCCTCCATTCTCCTCTCGGGATCTTAGGCACGCATGCACACGTGCCCGGTGTGAGTTTTAAGCCATCGGGTCCAGGATGCGAACTGCAGTTGACTACGTGGGAGTCCAGCAACATAGCCATTACGCTAACTGCTGGTTCCCCTGATTCACATTTTTTAAAAAGTTTTTGCCATCAGGTGCATGCACTCACCCGAGAAAGAGAGAGAGAAAGTGAGACATCAACTCCCAGGAGGAGATGGCCATATGCAATCCCTTCTCCATTCTCTCAAGATTTTTGGCATGCATGCACACATGTCCAGGGTGACTTTTCAAGTTCCTTGGTCTGGGGCTTGAACCATTGTCAACTATGTTGGAATCTAGCTTTTTAACTACCAGGCTGCCCACTCACCCTCCATTTACATTTTTAAGTGTACAATTCATTAGTTTTTAATATGTTCATGAAATTATGCAACCATTCCCATTATCTAATTTCAGAACATTTTCATCACCCTAAAAAAAAGAGGTTGTTTCCATTAGCAGTCCTTCTTCATTCCCCCACAGCTGTCAGCCCTAGGCAACTCTCCATCTTTCTAGATCTATAAATTTGTCTATTCTAAATATTTTATATAAAGAGAATTAAACAACATGTAGCTTTTTGTCACTGACCTTATTCAGTTAGTATAATGGTTTCAAAGTTTATCCACATTTATCAGTATTAATACTTCAATCCTTTTTAAGGGTGAATAATATCCCATTGTATGAATATACCATGTTTATTTATCCATTCATCAGTTGATGAATATTTGGTCATTCCATTTTGTTTGGCTATTATTTATAATGCTGATATGAACAGTCACATATAATTTTTTTATGGATGTGCATTTTTAGTTATCCGAGGCATATGTCTAGATGTGGAATTGCTGGCTCATATAATAATACTATATTTTAATTTTTTGAGAAACTGCTAGATTATATTTCCAAAGTCATTGTAATATATTCCATTATCACCAGTGATCTGTGAATATTATAATTTCTTCACACTCTTGTGGACACGTTATTGTCTGCCTTTTTGAAAGTAGCCATCTTAAAGGGTATGAAGTAGTATCTCAATGTGGCTTTGACTTTCATTTATCTAATGAATAATGGTACCGAAGCATCCTTTTATGTGACTATTCTAATTTGCCTATCCTCTTTGGAGAAATAGCTATTCGGGTTTCTTTCACCCAATTTTTAAGTTGGCTTGTTGTTAATTTTTGTAAGAATGTTTTGAGTTATAATATTTCTTTATATGTTCTGGATATAAATTCCTTATCAAGGAATGACTGGTGGAGACCAACAGTTGGTGTAATGGCTATGCCACTGGACTCCCATATTATATAGTCAGCCGCGGTTCGAGTCCCAGACCTGGTGACGTAAACTCATGCCAGACGCGTGTGCGTGCGTGCCCGAGATCCTGAGAAGAGAATGGAGGAGAAGGGATTGCAGCATGGCCATCACCCCTGGGGGGTTATTTCTTGCTTTCTGTCTCTCTGTCTCTCTCTGTCTTTCTGGCGAGCGCATGCGCCCTATAGCAAAAAAAAAATCTCTCCAAAGGGGGAAATAAAAAGGAATGACTGGCGAATATTTTCTTCCATTCTATGTGTTGATTTTTTTAACTTTTTATAAAGGAATTATTTTATTTAACTTTACTTATTTATTTATTTTAACTTGACCAGAAAGGGACAGAGAGAGAGAAAAAGAAAAGAGCTGCCATGTCCAGTACTTGAACTGCAGTCGGCCATGTGGGAGTTCAGTGCCCTTAAACACCATGTCACCTACCGGCCCCTCTTTTCACTTTCTTAGTAGCATCTTTTAATATACAATAATTTTTATGGGGTAGGGTTCCAACATCATATGTTTACATGTGAATATACAATTGTTTCAGTATCTCTTTTTCGAAAAGACAGTTTCAAACCATTGAATGTTTTTGGTATTTTTTTAAAAAAATCATTTGGCTATAGATGTATGGTTTATTTTTCAGCTCTCAGTTCTGTTCCATTGACCTACATGTCCATATTTATGTTAGTACCACATTGTCTTTTTTTATTTTTTGAGAGGTTTTTTTTTTTTTTGCTATAGGGCATGTGCGCTTGCCAGAAAGACAGAGAAAGACAGAAAGTGAGAAATCACCCCCCCACACACTAGGGGAGATGGCCACACCACAATCCCTTTTCCTCCACTCTCTTCTTCAGATCCTGGGCATGCATGCACACGCATCCGGTGTGAGTTTAAGCCACTGGATCCAGGACTTGAACCGTGGTCGACTACATGGGAGTCCCGCAAAATAGCCATTACACCAATTGCTGGTCCTGAGTACCACACTGTCTTACATGTCCATACTTAATGTCAGTGCCACACTGTCTTGATTACTGTAACTTTCTAATTGGGATGTTCTTTTCCAAGATTGTTTTGCCACTCTAGGCCCCTTGCCATATAAACTTTGGTGTCAGCTTGACAATTTACACACACATACACAAAAACAATTGGAATTTTGATAACAATTGCATTGAATCTATAGATCACTTTTAGCAGCACTCTCATCTTTTTATTTATTTATTTTTTTTGAGAGGTTTTTGCTATAGGGCACGTGCGCTCACCAGACAGACAGAGAGACATAGAGACAGAAAGCAAGAAATCACCCCCCAGGGGGGATGGTCACGCCGCAATCCCTTCTCCTCCATTCTCCTCTCGGGATCTTGGGCACGCACGCACATGCACCCGGTGTGAGTTTTAAGCCACCGGGTCCGGGGCACGAACCGCGGTCAACTACGTGGGAATCCAGCAACATAGCCATTACGCTAACTGCTGGTTCCCAACAGCACTGTCATCTTAACCTTAAGTTTTCCTGTCCATGAACATAGGATTGTTCTTTTATTTAAATCTTTTTTATTTCTTCAATAATAGTCTTCAGTGTATTACTATTATACTACTTTGGTTAAATGTATTCTTAAGTATTTTGTTCTTTTTTGATATAATTGTAAATGGAATCATTTTATAATTTCATTTTCAGATTATTCATTACTAGCATATAGAAACAAAATTTATTTCATGTATTGATTTTCTATTCTGCCACCTTTCTAAACAAACATTTTTTTCCAGTAGATTCCTTCGGATTTTCTGTTTACAAGATTGTCTTATCTACAAATAGAGGAAGTTTTATGCCTTCCTTTCTTTTTTTCCCATTTTTTGGAGAGATTTTTGTTATAGAGTGTGTATGCTTGCCAAACAGAGAGAGAGAGACAGAAAGTGAGAAATCACTCCCCAGAGGGGATGGCCATGCCGCAATACCTTCTTCTCCATTCTCCTCTCGGGATCTTGGGTATGCATGCACATGCGCCCAGCATGAGTTTAAGCCACTGGGTCCGGGACTCGAACCGCATGGTCAACTGCAAGGGAGTCCAGCAACATAGCCATTATGCTAACTGCTGGTCCCTATGCTTTCCTTTGTAATCAGGATGCTTTTTATTTATTTTTCCCAGTAAATTTCTCTGGATAGAACCTCCAGCATAACCCTGAATAGAAATGAAAAAAATCTTGTGCCTGATTGTAGGAGGAAAACCTTTAGTCTTTCTGAATTTTTTTGGCTGTGGGATTTTTATAGATGTTTTGTCTTAGTCTGTTTAAAATGTTATAACAAAATACTGTAACTTCAATAGGCAACAGAAATTCATTTTTTGCAGTTTTGGAGACTGAGAAGTCAAAGACAATCTGCCAGTATATTCAGCAACTGGCAAGGGCCTACTTTCTAATTCATAGATGGCCACTTTTTAACTGTGTCCTCATATGGTAGAAGTAGCAAGGGACTTCTCTTGGGCTGTTTCTTTGTTTGTTTGTTTTTTTAAGAAGGGCATATCTTCTCCCAAAACCTCACCTCCTAATACTATCACCTTGAAGGTTAGGATTTCAACATATGAATGAATTCTGAGGATCCATAAACATTCAGACTATAGCACCCTTTATCAGGCTGAAGACACTCCTTTCTATTCCTAAGTTTTAAATTTTCCTTAATTGTTTCCTTAAAGCAAAACAAAACAAAAATTATGCCTAGCCTAGAGTTGTTTGGATTTCTGATTTTCACATTCCTCAAAGTACTATTTTACGGATGCTCATAGCACTGATTACAAAACAAAATGATCCTTAATTCTGTTACATTCCATGTTTCAAGTGTCATAGCCCTTCAGAATGGTTTAAAGTGAAAAGTATATTGTTCAAAAGACTCATTCCTCTGGCTACCTCATTCCCTGGCTGCGTCCTGAGCTGTTGCTCCCTGTTTATTTCTAGGTGTCAGCTAAAATCAACACATTCATTCTATAA